TGTGTGTGTGTGTGTGTGTGTGTGTGTGTGTGTGTGTGTGTGTGTGTGTGTGTGTGTGTGTGTACTCCACCAGTGATTCTTCTCTATCGCGGCTGCTTTGTTTTTCGTTTTCTTCCAAAAATATAAATTTACTAATGTACAGTCCCCGTTTACCATGTGTACGTGTGTGTGTGTGTGTTTTTTTCAGGTGTATTTATGCGCGCGTTCGTCGCGTAGAAAACGTTTAATACGGATTTTGTACACCTGGTCGCCGGGTGCCCAGTATCGCGAAACGCCGTCTTCCCACGGGACCATTCTCTATACACCTAGGGCGAAGAAAAAAAAAAGACGTTATTTCGTTCGTGTTCGCGCCTTGTCTCGACACAATTACGTAATTAAACCTATTGACTGTTGATAAATCGTTATAGCTCGGTCTCATCTACGACTTGATTCCACGCGATCTTCCCTAACAGACTCGGAAGTCCGTCAGAGGATCGGTTGCCCGCGGAGTTGATCACGGAGATCGAATCGCAAAATCTACGAAACAATTGCCGTTGCTTGTAACACTCATTATACACATGCGTGAGGATGCTGGTGGCGTGTTTGTTCGCCGAGGGGATGGAAATGAATGTGGTCGAAGGACGGTCCTGGAACGGTCGATGACACGAGAGAACGGAAAGAGTATCATCGGAGTCACTGATCTAACACTGTTTTCCCTGCGTCAGGTACGTACATTTATTTGATTTAAGAATTAAAGAACATTTATTTACACGATTTTCGACAAAATTATACAAGCTTGATATTGAAAATTTTATTTCTGTATGTTCTACTCGAAATGAGAACAGAAGAATCAAAAGAACCACTGTTTTCTCATAAAACATGCTGAAAGTCAGCCAATCAGGGTACATAACAATGTACTTTTGTCAGGGTGATTGCAAATGAATATATTTTTACGCGATACACTTCCACAAAAGATAATGAAAGAAATAAAGAAACGGTGATTTGTTTGAAGGCAGTGCAGTACTTTGATACACGGTATTTTACTGTCTATCTAGCACAACGAACTATTCGCAGTCAGACAAATAATTTTGAATTCACTTCAACAATATTGTTACTTCAGAATTCCAGTGAATGCAAATGAATTTATAATGAATCACTTTCCTACCAAAGAAAATGTGCCAATCCGAAAACAAAGTGTAATATCTAATACAGTTCTCATGAACGCCGAGCCTAGTTTAACAATGAACACCGTTTCATTCTTTTCAATTTACCGAATCCAATTCAACAACAAGCCTCATTTCACGTTTTTTTATTCTTTCATTTCTGTAAACCCACTATTATTGCGTAACGCGCGGTTGAAGAGTGCTTCACGAATGGAAATTTTGCGATCCACAGAGAGGGGCTAAAAGTTAATAAACTCGTTTCACGCCAAAAATATAATTACTGTGTGCGCGCGTGTTCGCCGGCGCGCAAACTTTCGAATAATTACGAACAGCGCGGCGCCCCGTGTATTTACTTACGTCGACCCCTACGAAAACCTCGAGTGGTTTATCGCGCGCTTGCGCGTCATCCCCCTCGTCACTTCCGGCGGCCTACTCCCCTCCCTCCTTTTCCTCCCTTCTTTTCGCCGCTAACGCGATTAATTACAAATTTTATATCGCGTGAAAAGCCTTGTCTGAGGTAGTCCATGTAACATCGAATTACCCTGTACCGTAATTTTTCCCACTTTTCAGCGATGCTCCGATTCCGCGTACACCGACCGCCGGAAATTCACTTCTATCGCGGGAACACTAACCTCCCGATTCACGAGAAAATACAATTTTCGTATAAAGTCTCCCCCTTAAAAAATCTAGATCACATACGATTAATTCCATCAAATTATTCAACAACTGAAACGGTGAAAAACTGAGAACCTGATAACCATTCCATCTAGGATCTTTCGTTGTGCCGTTCGTTCTCGTAGCGATCTCCGTTCCAAGGACCTCGAACCGATATGGAAACGTATACGTTCGGTTGAACAATGAGGGAATAAAATGTAGGCTCACAGGGTCGCAGTGACAACGACCTAGGAACATTGTTCCCTGCTCTCTTGTTCGCCGTTGGTGATGCCCGCGTGTTCTCGTTCAAAGGGGTTGAAAACATCGAATATACAGAGGAACTGGAGGAAGGGGGGGGGGGAGAAAAAGAGCTGTCGCGTTACGATCTCTATAAAATTGGGGTACGATCGAACGGAACCGGGAAATTTGCCGTTTCTCTTACCTACACGTACATTATATATACAGTGTCTTGTGTGTGTCGACGATCCTCCCTAATGTACATTACTGTCTAAGAAGAGTAACAAATGCTATTTTACAATCGTCTTTGTACAGAAGATCGGCGCTTCGATCGCGAAAAGGGGGTTGGGAAGAGGGGGGTTATCGGTGACACTGAAGAGGAAAATGAACGACAGCTCTGCGACGAGCGTCGGGGAACGCGACGATCGGATATTCCGGGGACCAGTCACCGTGACCACGCGAAGTATCAACTCGAACGTGGTCGTACTTTCGACGTACGGCTTGCGACGTCTGTTTTCTGTTTTGTTCGCGATGTGTACTCTGCCACCGAGACGACGTCCTCGAATATCGTTTCGGAACAGAGATCGACGGCGATAATCCTGGTTCACCAGCTACAGATTTGGATTGTCTTAATCTAGAATCGCGTTCATTTGGACCAAAGGATGTAACGATCGTATTTAGTTGGAGGGGGAAAATTTACAGTGTGTGCGAATGTGTGTGTGTGTGTACTCGGTATATTCGAGTACTCAGTGTCGTGTGGTCAAGTACTTGAATACTGGTCATTCGGGGCTTGAATATTCTGTATACTGTATGCGATATTGTATTTAATGTTTGGAATGTGGTACTCTGTATTTATGTTTGTCACTTAAAAGCTTATAGATCTGTACCTACTCGGTGTTCAGTATTCAAATACTCGGTACTTGGGTTCCTCGAGTAGACGGTGTTCGGATACTCGGTGTTTTGTACTTAAGTACTCGGAATTCGGTATACGAATCGAATCGTTGCTCGTCGCGTTTTGAACACAAGGTCGGGATACAAGTTTCTCTTCTTTTCAGATACAAAACATCTTCGATCATTCGTATTGTTACTAGGATAAATTTCCTAATGCCTGATGGGCACACGGTTCCAGTAACGAAACGAATTACGCAGAGGTGTTGTATATAGAGGAGACTATAGCTATAGCTTCCTTGAAACCCTTTCGTAAAGTCTGCGAGAAAGAGGGTCAATCTTCAACGAAATTCTACAAAGTTAGTTCGAACGAATCCTGTGAGAGAGTATTGAAAGCGGCTGGATTTCAACGTTGTTCGTAAGACGGTGCACAGTAACGAGACGTCATTTACACGGTTCAATATATACTTTTCGAAAATTCTATAAACAAATTGATTCTCGACTGCTTTGAAAGTTGTAGGCAACTATGAGTACAATTTTCGTATATTTTAATTATGATTTTTCGTCGTTATTGCAAAACGAATTGTTGATTTTTTAAAATTGTTTATACATCTGAACAAAGAATAGACTTAAGACAACTGGAATCAATTGTCGTCGATTTGTTATGACGAAACATGAACATTTATCGGTCAGAGTTTTGTCCAATATCTGAAGGCTCGTATAAGTAACTTATTCATAATTTATTTCATAATCAATATTTGCAAAACTTTTTATTCAGACAACAAATTTTCACCTGTCTGCTTCTATGAAGAATTTCGATCACAGCCACGATTTTCCCAGGGAAGTTAAAATGTTCCAGGGCTGAAGAGCGTTGTCAGCCGACGCCATATCTGCGAGCGAGCGTGATGGCCGGCCTCCGAAAAAAGCCACCCTCGAGGTAGCTATCAATCCCGACGTTCCCTCCCTCTCACGAAGGCAGCCTGGTTCGAGCAACCCCAAAGTCTCGCGAGAATATTTGCAGCGGGAGCCCGCCTCCCGTGTCTTCAAATCCCTCTGAAATTTCCACACGATTCTCGGCTCTTCGGAATGGGAGAGAAATGGTGGTATACACAAGGTGTCCCAGAAATAGCATCATGGAAATATTCCTGGTCATTTCAATCCGAACGAATTCCGCGATTCCCGATACAATATAAAACAATTCATTTAAATGCAAATATTGATTAGAAATCTTTTTGTAATTCAAGATGTAACAATTTCAAATTCTGATGAATTTTCTACGCGAAAACTTTGATTAATTTTGAAATTGTGTTGAACAATTTCCTACGAAAAAACTTCGAATGCAAAGGGATAAATTGGAATAGTGGAAGTTGCGTTTGTGGAATGCAAAGTTGAATTGTAAAAGCAACGTTGTGTGGTACCAAAAGTTTTGTTGAAATTGCATTTGTAAGATTGCAATTTCTTGAATTTTTAGTTATCTCAAAATACGGTGGACCGTCCAACGAACAGTTTCGGTGCGACGAGGCTTCGTGCGTTTCATTTTTGTACATATTTGTCGTGAGTAGAAGGATAATATACCCTGCGTGACCCGGGTCATGCGTATACTTCTACGACCTCTAGATTTAAACGGGAACCGAAGAAGATCCGTTGAATCGCTCTCGATCCTTCTCGACGTTATCGCCCGCGGGGCGTTAACAACCGAACAACTTCGATCACGTTTTTTCACTATGAAGGCAATGAGTATTCATTATAACGCCGATCAACACGAAAAAACGATCCACGGGCGGATAATGCGTTCATGAGTTGTTCCGATCGCAAATTCGGATGAACGCTGGTATGTATTCCCGTCTCTCGGTAACCGAAGCTAGCGTCAGCAAACGGCCAGTCGTTGGCAAAATTTGGCAGACCTTCAGGCGAGGCTAATTAATCGAATTAAAGCGGACTCGTTAACCTTTTTTCGGCTCCTGTTGCATCGTTCGTTTAACAGGTCCCTGGACAGGATCCTCTTAACTCTTTTCTCCATCGCAGCGCTGAGAGCTTTAACCCAACTGGCTGTTCAAGGCCACTATCCCCGGGAAAATTTTCTCTCTTGTATTACCATCAGCCTGTAGATGTTCATAACTTCGTGTAATTTATAACCGGGTAAAATCTTGAACGGAAACTTTCGTGATATAAATCAATTTACTGAAATCGCGTATTTTCATTAAACGTTCACAGGCCAATTAGCGTATCTGCATTCCAATTGTAAAGGCAAAGGATCACAAAGAGTTTGTAAATTCGCCTGAATAATAAGGAAACTATTTCAATTCGAGCTGTTCAATTTCGTTAACACTGACGATGAACGTGTACATGTACAATACCGACCAAAATTACAGGACTAGAGTTCATGACTGATGAAACAGTAACAATCATTTCCAATCAGTTTTAACATATTACTTTCATCGAATCTTCGTAGAATAATATTGTTCTTTAATTATCAAACCTAGTCCCATATTTTCGCCCGGTAATATACATCTATTTCTATTAAATCGATAATCATGACAATCTTTTCATAGTTCCCAATCAAATTTCCGACTAAACTAATTTCGTCATTTTCATGCCGCAGTAAATTTTCCGAAACATCTCAAGAAAAGCATGTAGTAAAATTTCAATCATTGTAACAATCCCTTAATTTTGACTGCTTTAATAGTCCCGGTGTTAAACTCAGGACATTTCACCGTCATCAGAAAAGAGTTAAGAATACCATCAGGAAACCATCACCAAGTAAAATACTACGCAAGCTGTCGCACCACCGAGGCGAACTTCCGGTTACCGAGCCACCCTAATTAGTCCCCGCGTTTTCTAACTCCCGCGGTATTTCTTTCACGTCGTGTGTCCTCCGCGACTGGTCGAGTGATCGTGGTCAGCGATTCGTCGGACAGCGACGATCCGTGATCGAGTGTCGCGAGCGCGCAGACACTGTGTCTCTGGTAGCAGCGAGCGTTCGTAGAGGATTGATCGGTTCATATTCACTCACTGGTGTCGGATGTGTTCACGGGAGTGGTGGCCGGCGTGTTCGATGGCTGATGCTGCGTCGGCTGCGTCGGTATCCCGAGGGACGCTAGAAGCGGCCTGGACGACACCGCGCCTGGAGCGGCTGTCGGTGGCGGCGGGCTCTCCTGGCCCACGAGCAGGCTCGCAGGCGGGAACCCGAAGAGCTGGGATCACTGGAGCCTCGGCCAGTAGTTACCGGTCAGGTCCGGAGTTTGCGATGGGATCTGCACAGGGACCGAAACGCCCGCCGATATCACGCCTGGAACAGAGAAAGATTCTTGCCTGGTGATCATCTGGTCTCCCTGTAAGTGACTTTACAGTCGTTGGACTATTATTATTAATGTGAGCATAATTAACATGGTTAGGGAAAATCAGGAGTGCTGAACGATAAAAATATTCACTTAAACGAAAGACACTCGTGCCCAAGAAAAATGTACGAAATCGGTGGGAAACTGTTTTTCAAAGTCCAAAGTAATTTGCAAAGTAACAGTGTTGGGTAGAAATTACCGTGCATGACTTTAATTGGTTGACTCTTTATAATAATCGAACCTCCGCTACCCCGTCGATCAATTAACAACTACAACCCCCGTACGAACTTCAATTCAGCCAACAAAGGGTAAAAAGTTACCCGAACCCGACTCACCATATATTTATCATCCGATATACCCGTCACGCGATTAAACACGAACATTCGAGTTTCACCTCGCGGAACAGATCACCGAATAAATCATGAGTGTATCGTGGGTGAGATCAAGCGGCGGCGCGTTCTCTGTGAAAGCGATACACACCGAAGGGGCAGGCGGCGGGGCACTTAGCAATGGAAACGACGACGGGACATCGTCGGAGGCGACGATGGTAACGAGCACGGTGAAAGTCCCCGGCGCTCATGCACGTAAAACGATTATGATGGATAAGTTGCGGCTCGTTCCGCACGTAAGAAGCGCGAGAAACGCGGAACCGAGAGGGATATGGAGGGAGAAACAGTGAAAGAGAGACAGGCGTAACGGTGTGGTGCGTGTTCCGCAGTATTCCACCATTCTACGGCGTTCCACTCCATTCCTGTAGGCACGCCGCGCACCCCCGTGTTTCCTCCCCTTTGGGTTCGCACGTTATTGAGCGCTCGCCCAGCCGAGGCGAGACCCAACCCATCCACATCCTCTGTTCGCCCCCTGTATACCTTGAAGAGAGGAAGAGCCCCAAGCTGGAGGGACAGAGACGGACGAGAACAACCCCCGGCTACGGTTGGAAAGAGACACACAGCCGTTGGAAAGAAGGATATAGACAGAGAGAATAAGGTACCAGGAGGGTCGACCCTCCGCAGTTTTCGCTAAACGAGAGGGGCGATGAGGGACAGAAGGGGGGTGGGGTACAGAAAGTTGAGGAAGAAAGAAGAATATAGAAGTCGGTGGGTACGACGGAGAAAGTGCGAATCGAGAAAATGGAAAATTCACCAGACTACGTTTGTGGTTGGAGAGGGGAGGGGGTGCGGTGGAAAACCACCGAACATCCCCGTTCTTCGATTCAGCCCGCTGGCGCCATGCGAGATTTGTTTTAAAATCCTTTTACAATTCCGCGGAAGAACGACCCACGTGCTGCCCGCCCAACCATCGACCACCACCCCCTTTAACTTCCCGCTACTTCCAACGTCTACGTCGCCCGGCGCCACCCTCTTGGTTGTACCCCGTTCTCGCGGGGAAGAGCCGCTATGTAGATTGCGTGTAAAGAGGTTCCTGGGTAATCCTCGACGGTTTATTTCGCTCTAGGTCCCGGCTACGCGGAAGAACACGCGGAGAGAGAGGACGAAGAATTTTGGGGAAGAAATTTGTTGGTGAACGTTTTCATGGGGTGCTTCGTGGTTTTTGGGAAAAGTTTTACGCGATTGCTGCGGAAACTGTTCGCGCTGTCTGTGATAGCTAAACGTCGGTATTGTCGGTGACTACGTACCTATGAGACTGGTTTGGTTTTTCATGAAAGTTGTGAGTAAATTTTCAACTGTTTAAATTATTAGTAAAATTTGGGATATTGATTTGGGGCTGGCGTAACCCTTAGCCTGCCTTTATTTTTTCGACTTAGTTTGTCCCTCGGTATCAAATTGACGGAGTGGTAAAAAATGAATACAATGATGAGATAAATGTACTGAGTGGCGTAACTATAAAACCACCTTAAAATTTTCAATTCTTATGGTTAAAATTAAAATGAATCAAGTATGCCACGTCTGAAATCGTGTTGAGAAATAATGTTCTCCAGAAAAGGATATATTATATTTCCTATTAAAAGTGGTCCGTCTTTAATTTAACCACAAAATATAAAGGTTGAAAATTTTAAGGTGGTTTTATAGTTATGCCATGCAGTGTAGCTAAATTTACAAATTTTTTAAAGTCAAAGTCACGGAGCCTCAGTTAAATTTACCTACACATGACAAAACATAATTTCTTAGGAGAAAAATATGTCAAATTGACTCAAAGAACAGACGTGGGTTAACTATTGGTTTGGTTTTGTCAAGAATTAATATAGTTTTAACTATGCGTGTAAAAAGTAGAATAATTTTGAATATCTGAAAAGTACCAGTTGACACATAACGACCAGTGTCGCCTTAACAATCTCTTTGGCATTCACACGATGCCACTCTGGCGTCATCTGTAACTTTTATCGACATGTATAAATGACAATTTTTAAGCTTCCTCGAACTACGAATAAAAATTACTAATTTCATGTATGAAAAAAAAACCAACCCTATCGACGTTTTACAACACTTTTTCAACGACCTTTTTGAATCGACTAAGAATGGATTGGTCCGTGTAACGGATAATTTTCGTCGAAAAGGAGAACGTGTCGTCATGAGAACGTAGGAGAAATTTATTTCTGATTTTCCGGGTCGATCGTGAAATTCCCGGCGCGTCCTACACCGGAACAAACTTCCTTGCGCCCATTAAACGTATTTCCACTTGTGCCGTTTGCCACGGTAACTAGTTCTCGCGATGACGCGCGAATGTTTTGCTTTTTACATAGTCTGGCCCTGCTAGTTGCACACGGCGAATCGTCGAGTGTGTATGTGTGTAATCAACCGGTAGTTTCAATGGTACAGAATGAGCACGTTTGAGTGAGGAGGCCAAAGCCTGGTGTTTCTACAAACGAGAGAAGCGTCGAGAGCACCGCGAATACGTAATATACATATACCGATCGTGACATTTTACTGCTCTCTTTCTGGTTTTCCGTTTAATCCACGGGCACGTGAAAAAAAAAAGAACAAACACCCGTTGATCTTTGAAGCCTACCCTGTGAATTTATTTTCTTACCCCCGAGAGATAAAGTCGCAAATACCAACGAAAAAGAAATTACGCCCGATGATCAATACTTTTATATGCACGCACCGTTTGCTTTCAATTGTGATCACAGCGTATAAAAGAAAATTGGAAGCGTTCCTGCAACGACGGGACCATAAGGTTATGGTCTCACCATCGGCCATAAAGACGCGGTTAACGAGCCAAGAAACAGCTTTCGTCCGCGCGAATCGGCTCCAATTGGCACGACTCTTTGAGACTATCTCGAACTGAACGGGATAACGTCTTTCTCGGGCTACGAGGTTCTTTAGAATAATATTATCATGTTAGAACAAAAAATTTCTAAATAGTTACGTTAATCCAAATCTATACAATTTGCAATAATCGAGAATATCCACTTCGATTAAGATTCTGAAATCAATGCAAGATCAACAATCTGGTAATGGCATGACCTTGATGCAATCATTAACCTATCAAGTGTACCAACAAACAATCCACTATATTTCATCGAATTCAACACTTATTTTCGATAAATTCAGAAGCCTATACTGTTCCAGTGATACCCTCGTTCTCCAACGTTCGCCTCCATGTTGAAACAAGGCAAAGCACAGAAAGATGTTTCAACTTTAAACTGTGTCACCGGTTCATCAGAAATAATGTATCCCTTATCCATACACCTAATACAATTAATCCAATTTATAATCATCGATTTATCCAAAAATCGCGTTTCCACTTGCGTCCTTGCTCAACCGTGACAAAAAGGTTTAAAGACACAACGCGTCTAATGAAGCCGTGATTGCAGTTCCGCGACCTTGATTAGCGGCGTAATTGCGGAGCGGTAGTGTGCAGCCAAAGTGGGTATATACCCCGGTAGATGGCCTTGAAGATATTCAGCAAGAACAAACAAACAATCCTTAAGCGGAAACTCACCAGTCGCGGTCGAGGTCGTCGGCTGGTAGGGCGCACCGCCTGGTCCTGCTGGCTGTCCTCCGGGCGTGGTGGGGGTACCACCATGAGAGGTTGGTATACCACGATGGGGTTGCGAGTGCGCAGCAGCGCTGTGTGCGTGGGAGTAAGACTGCGTCAGCGAGTGAAGAGGCTCGTGGAACACGTACGCTGGATATCCCTCGGCGCGTTGCTGAAGACAGCTTCCACCCATTGACCCGCCCAAGCTGCTTGACATCGAGCTGCGTGACGACAGAGAGAGAAAACGGAGATACGCGTCAGGAAATTGTAAACGGAGGGGGCCAATCTCTGTTGATTCCACGGAGTATCCTGAAGGGATCTCCCGTTAAATGCGACTTGTCCACTCTTCAGTGTTCAATAAGGAAGTTTTTATGGGAGATCGTGTCCATAAAAGAAATCATCTTTATACTTGAGAGGGTTCGAGAGAATCGTAATGTGGAATGCGTGACGATCGATCGTTAATTAAACTTGGAAATCGAAGGTTCATCGATGTATCATATGTAGATGTTATACTCGGTGATCGTTTGAAATATTAACGGAGAATGGTGTTAAAGAACATCATAGCGATAAAAGAAAAGATTTGTAAATTGGGATGGTTGGCTGTTGATACTCAAGACTTGATGGTGATTTGAACTCGTAGTATACAGTGATTCATAAGTTTGTTCACGAAAGGCTGTCACTTCTATTTGAAAATGTTTAGCAAAATGCTAGTTTCATTTCAAATATAAAAAAAACTGATCACAAAGGGATGTATAAAAGGTACTACAATAAGCATGGTATAAAATGGTGTACCTGTAAGTGTCGGGCATCGTGGCGATCGGCTGCGGTATCGACGAGTACATGGCGTTGAATCCGGCGTTTAGGGGTAACCGTGGCGTGGCTGGGGTTGCAGCCGGTGGCGCTGTGCTCCCTCCGCCTCCACCACTCCCTCCGCCGACCACCTGATCGACGGCCGCTCTCCTTTGGTTCCGTAATTTCTCCTCTCGACGCCACTTCGCCCTGCGATTACTGAACCACACCTGCAACCGACGGAACGACGGTGCTTTTGTCACGATAAGGGCGTCACTCCGCGCGATGTATTCGCATTATCCGCAGCTATCCATCCTCTCGCACTCTCGCGCTCTCCGCGCGTTCATTCTCCTTTCCACTCGTTCTTTCGCGGCATTCTCCACCTCCACCCATGGACGCCCATTTTTCATTTTTTACCTCCAATTCTCGCCCCTCTCCGCCCACCCCGTTTTCCTCGTTCGTTCACTGTCTCCCCCCCTGCCACCCATTTTTGCCTTTTCTATCCCCGTTCAGCCACGCAACAGCGTGAAATCTACAGATACTTTTTTTTCCACCCGGTGTAACGCGCAGGAAAACCCCCACACGAAAGCTCGAGTTTGCACCGGAGACTACCCGGCGCAGTTTGTTAATTGCAATTGAGCAGTTGTCGGACGGGGATATTGAGTTACTCCCAGCTGTATTCCCGCCACTCGCTACTCCGTTCATGGATACTTTTCTTGTGTTGCGTCATGCCGTCGAAGCTGACGGACGCGTGCTTGACGGGGAAAGAGAGAATTTATCAGCGAGGTTTCGCGTTGCCCGTTCCTATATTTGGGGTAGGTCCTTGGTTTCGTTTGGTCTGGGTTCAATATTACATATTTTTAAAAAGGTCTGGTTTAGGTTGACAGTCATCCATGTTAAATCTAGCAATGAAAAATTTCTGTGATGCCCTAGGCTTTATTTAATTACTCTAAAAAATCGAATAGTAACTTTCTAGAAAGTAATTTACGTCCTACGAAATAGAAGATACCGATCTTGGAGATAGTACATAGGGTCGAAATGCTTGGACTATCGATAGTCGAGGCGTATACGGTCACAGTAACAATAACAGAACCGACGAATGGGGGGGAAAACACGAATGTTTCAATTTCATCGCAAGATTTCTCACGCTCAAGAAGATGATACCCTATGTGTATAATAAGCGGTAACCTCGAGCAGCAAAATCGGGGGCTTAAGTTCTTTGTCGCGCTTCCACGGATTTCCTGATTTCGAAGATACCTCCTCCCGATAAGAGGATTCTCTCTCCCTTCGATATGTCGATTCGACTTCGTCCCCCTCCCCGAGCGACGTAAACACCCAGATTACACTCTAATTTTTCCCTCCCCATGCGTCACGCGCGTTCCATTAGGACCCATGGAATCCTATGACTTTTCTTCGAATCCATGCTTCGAGAAACATAAGCGTCCAGTGTCTCATGTTGCGGTTGGTCGATTGTTCGGCTCATTTGCACGGGAGAAGAAACGAAAAAAAAAAAAGGGCACTGATCTCTCGTTTACCCGGTTTACGAGGGCGCTGCTGTCGTGCTTTATTAATGGTCGACAATTGCCACGTCGGCCGTTTCGGCACTACTCCCCTGCGAACAAACGACGAACCGTCGCGCGATAATGAGAACAACGATAGAAAAATTCGATGGGCAACAATGCCCCGCAACTTTTTCAATTACCGCACACCGAGAGGAGACCGCCGACAATGCGCGGAATCGCGGCCGGGGGCATTATTTACTCGTGATTTTACCGCTAATTTGTAAGCATTCATTTCCCCCATTCGTTGCTGACATTAATACCAGCAGTGACAAAAGGCCGTATTTCTTGTTAAGGGAAACTCGTTTTTTAGAACGAAAACTGACCAAGCCTCTGTTTATTCAGAGTTTTCTTATACGCGAGTGACGAAAACTGTGAAGTATGTCGCGTATATGGAAACAAAATGGCGGAAACAGTGGTATTAAATACGAAGAATAGATTAACAGCAACTCGTAGAGGAAATTTGTATGTCATACTTCAGCAGTTGTTATTCCAAATACTCAAAGATGTTTGTAAATAAGAAAAAAAGTATTCGAGAAATTACTGTATTTTTAACCCATTTGCATCAATTGAGAAAAATTGAAAATGGACCCCTAACATGGAATTTCTGTATTAAATTGAATCACAAATATCTCAGAAAGTATAAATACCTTAATGTTTCATAAATTTGAGAAATCTAGAGTAATTGTTTTGTACAATATGAATACTAACGCTAATGATGCAAATGGGGTAAAAACAGAGACTAATCAGTGCATCGGTCTCTTATAACTAACAACTGCCACAACATTGGTATCTACTTTATTTAAAAAGAAAAAACAGTAATTGAAGTGTTATTGAACCCAATTTAACGACAATTTCAGCTGCGTAATATACGTTCAGTATTACTGAAAATAAATATTTTTCTAGTTTTTAGGGTAAAAATTGAAAAGCAAAGACGAAGGAAATTCGAGATTATTTCGCAGCGCGTCGAGGCAACTTGATCTTGAACAGCGCGCACACCCGGGCGGCCTTCAAATCGAATCAAAAAATAAATTTCATCTTGGCCGGCGACGTGGCAAATCGCGTTCTAGCACCCCACCGGCGAATATCCACCCATTCGCCCGCAGCGAGCTCCTTTCGCCCAATACCGTCGTTCCTCGCAAACTCGTCCTACCGCGTCCCCGAAAACTCGTTTGAATCGATCCATTCGGAATTCCACGAACCGGCTACACACACTCTCTCTCTCCCTCTCTCTCGTCCCTCCGCGCCGGACGTACCTTCTACTTTGATTGGCAATGTTTAGAAGATGGCGTCGCACGTGAATTTTAAAAAAGATTCCACGGAACTTCGTTGCCCATAATCGAACGCGACGTCTCGAGCTGAGAGCCGCGGTAAGTTTTCTAATTTCTCGCGTTTCCTGTTTTGACTGTTGATTAATAAATATATACTTGCCAGATTTAAAAAAAAAAAAGGTTTTTTTGGAGATTTTAATCTTGAAAATTGAAAATGGACATTCTATTTTAGTGGAGAGTCAGTGGTGATAGGATTGTTGTACTCCATTTTGTAGGTTATCAGAACTGAGTTGGAGGAAATTCAAAATTTGAAGAAAACAATGAAAAGAAGGAAAACAATTCTTATTTGGAAAGTCAAAGTGCTCTTGAAGCTTAAAAATAAATCGAAATTAAGGTTGAAAACTGAAATTATAATACTAAAGGAAACATTCGTGTAGCTTAACTCTTTGAGGCACACGATTTTAAAGAAAATAGAAACCCTAGTTGGACAGAAGTTTTTTTAATATAAAAAAAATGATATAAAAATAAAATATTAAACTGTATGACTATGAGTAACTTCAACTTTTCGAGGTGGGTTAAAATATATCCCACCATGCAGAAAAAGCTAAGCAAAAGGTGGGACAGTTTTTAACCCACCTAACTCTAAAGAGTTAAAATGTATTCGAATTAAACTTCTTAAACAATGTAAACTCAGGAATGAACGTCACAGATTCAATCTCATTTCAAGTACATCAATTCTGTAACCAGATATCAATGCAAGATTCCCTGTTACAAAATACAACTCTAAACATTAAAAAAAAAACAATTTAAACTGCTAAAATACGCCTGACAGTAATCTCCTACTGTACCATCAACCAACCCCAAGAAAAGAGGACATCATCCTCCAAATTCGCTACTCCAAACTGATCTAAACACCTCCAAAAAACACCTAAAAACCTTCCAAAACTCCCAAAACAAGCTCGCAAAGCTACGTTTCAGTCGAGGCTCGTGAACATTTCCGCGAAAGAGCACCGTGGTCCCAGGAGGACCCACCGTTAACATTCTCCCGTATCGGTAGCCGGTTGTATCGGCCATCGCGCACATGGCTGGATTCGTCCATCGCCATAGATGATAATCGGGGTCCCGGCGTTGTTGCGCGGCGTGGCCGAGAGAACTCGTGGCGAGAGAGTAGGTATCCTACGAGCGGAGGTATAGGTGGAAATGCGAGGAACAACCAATCAGAGGGCAACCTCCCTGGGGACGCGACGTTGCCATGGTTGCGGGTTCGGAACCCTCTTAGGCCGTCTGCTGGATCCCTCTGGATATGCTCTGGCTGGTGCCGTGGCGTTTCGTAGTGCGCGGGGCGAAATAGTTGTATCCACGTTATACGGCCACGCCATGTCCTGCCACGCCACCACGTTTCGCTTTCACCCCGTATATACCCCTGCGTCCACTCGGTTCGTTCTCTTTCTTCACCCGTTGTTCGGTTGTTCGGAGGACGGTCCGGTGGTGGAATTGTTCCTTTTACTCCCCCTTTCACCCTCTTTCTCTCTTTCCATATACCTCTTCCTCATCATCATCTCTCTCTTTTCTCTCCTCTAACCATTCTCTTTCTCTCACTTCCTCTCCCTCTCTATCTATCTATCTATCCGTGTCTCTATCTCACCCCTCGCGCAGCACGGTTCGTCGTCTCTCGCACCGGCACTCCCGGTTTCCTGCACTTAGCAAGATCAATACCAGCCAACGAGGCTTGAAAACATGCGTCAACATGGTCTTGCACTGTTTGTACGTCCACATAACGCACACCGCCCGGTTACTACCACCACCGACGCGAAAGCCCGCCGGCCACTTCACCACCCCCAACCCCCCCCCC